CGCGAAATGTTCTCTCCCAGCAGACAAACTTCCCTGGCATGTTATCTCTCTATTTGGCCGATTTCTACTCTTTCCAACCGCCTCCCGAAGCCTGGTAGAGGCTAGGGAAAGTTTACAATAGTGAAGTTTATACTTGGACAGGTCATCAACTACCCGTATTTTTCACCGACAACGTTTCCTCGTCATTAGTAACATTGTCAGCGTGGGTCTAAGTCTGATTTTAAATCTTTTCCCTGGGGAGGCGAAAATTTACAACAATGAAGTTTATACTTGGACAGGTCATCTGATATCCGCATTTTTCCACCGACGACGCTTCCTTGTAAAGGACAACGAAGGTACATGTAGGTTCGTCATAGTTCATGACATCAAGACCGAGCTATTCACCCCTCCCCAGCCCTACCTGCTGCAACCATGTACTTCAGAATTCTTTGCGAAACCGCTAAAAATTGACCTCACATCCTTTTGGGCAGTAAGATTACGCGTGTTATGTCCTTGGGCAGTGGAAGAGTGTGGCGTAACTGCAGAGTGCTCGACTCAGAACCAACAGGTCCCGGGTTCGAGTGCTTACATGCCACCAATCTTGTGCCCTTGAGATAGGCACTTTACCTCAATAGTGAAGTTTATACTTGGACACGTCATCTAATACCCGCATTTAAACCGAAGACGTTTCCTTGTCATTTGTCAAATTGTAATCGTGGGTTTGGGTATAATTATTTTAAAACCTTTCCCTTATAACGATAGGAGAAACTTTACAAATTAGATCTAGATAAATCTCCATAGTGAAGTTTATACTTGGACAGTTATCTAACACCTGCATTTTCCACCGAAGAAGCTTCCTTGTCATTTGTTACATTGTCAGCGTGGGTCTGGGTCTAATTTTAAACCTTTGTCTTAATAACGAGAGAGGGGAAAGTTTACAAAATAAAGAAACCTCAAGAGTGATCCTTGTATAGGTCATCTAACACCTGCATTTTCCACCGAAGACACTTCCTTGTCACTTGTTACATTGTCAGCGTGGGTCTGGGTCTAATTTTAAACCTTTGACTTAATAACCAGAGAGGGGAGATTTTACAAACTAAAGAAACCTCAACAGTGAAGTTTACACATTCACGTGTCATCTGATACCAGCATTTTCAACCGACGACGTTTCCTTGTGAAGGACAACGAAGGAACATGTATGTTCTTGCACACAGAGTTATGTTAGAACGACCGAGAGGACGGCTGTGTCTCGCTGAGTTCAGCTATCGAACCGCCGGTGGCTCAATGCCAGTAATACGCCTCTACATTTCAGAATGAATATCACTTTATCCACAACCACTTGTTTACATGCAAGAGTCGATGACTGCAAGACATGTATTTTAGTGATGAGAAGTAACACGTGTTCAATAACGATAGGGGAAACTTAACAAGATTATAACGATAGGGGAACTTAACAAACTAAATAAACCTCAATAGTTAGGTTTATACTTGGACAGGTCATCTAACACCTGCATTTTCCACCGAAGACACTTCCTTGTCATTTGTTACATTGTCAGCGTGGGTCTGGGTCTAATTTTAAACCTTTGTCTTGATAACGAGAGAGGGGAAAGTTTACAAACTGAATAAA